AAGCAATTCTTCAAGCGCTAGATGAAGACCCAAGAGCATCACTCAGAAGGATAGAGGAGATGACAAAGATACACTTACAACAGTCAGTTATTATCTGCACAATTATTTGAACTACAAACTAGCGTATACACGTTGGGTTCCGCACAACCTTAATTCAGTTCAAAAAAAATCTAGAGTCCAATCTTCGAAAGAGCTCCTCTCTATATTGGTGCGTATCAATCCAAGAAGTTTCGCTTTTTAGTAACAGGGGACGAGTCTTGGTTTCAATATGCAACAGAAGCCAAAATCATGTGGATCCCGAAGGATGAAAATCCGCAAACATTCCCGAAGAAAAAAATTGACACACCAATGATGATGTTGTCGGTTTTTTGGGGCGTGAATGGCATCATCGCAATTGATATTCTTCAAAAACCTAATACGATGAATGCTCAGTATCTAATTGACAATGTTCTTACTCAAATTATCAATTCTGATGAGTTTGAGAAATCCAAATAACAAAAACAAAAGTTTGCAATTCATTTTGATAATTCAAGAGTTCACAAAAGTCATAAGGTAATGAATTACTTGTTGGAAAACAATGTCAAAGTTGTTCCAAACCCAATTTATCCACCTGATATTGCACCCTCTGAGTTTTATTTATTCGGCACGCTAAAAAAGAGAGCTGAAGGACGCGAATTCGCGAGTCCAGATGATCTTGAAAATTTTGTAAGAGAGCAATTTGAGCAATTTTCTCATGATGATTTAAAGCGTGTCTTTCAAGCCTGGATCGATCGCTGCGAACGCGTGATTGAATCCAATGGTGATTATATTTAAATAAACTTTATATATATGTAACTTGTTTATTTCTATTCGCAGTATTCAGGTTTGTGCTAAACACACCTTTGGACACCCTATAGATGAAGATGGTTTAGCATTAAAAATTGTCACTTTTTTAAAATTTCGGATTTTTAAGAGTATGTTGAAAATTAAACATACTCTTAATATATGTTAATAATTATCATTTGATAAAATTATTTAAATAGTAATCAAAATATTGTTATAAATATTAATGGAGTTGAAAAATTATGATCATAAAAGTAAGATGTTAGCATCTAGCCTCAGTAGATATAGGGTGTCCAAAGGTGTGTTTAGCACAAACCTGAATACTGCGAATAGAAATAAACAAGTTACATATATATAAAGTTTATTTAAATATAATCACCATTGGATTCAATCACGCGTTCGCAGCGATCGATCCAGGCTTGAAAGACACGCTTTAAATCATCATGAGAAAATTGCTCAAATTGCTCTCTTACAAAATTTTCAAGATCATCTGGACTCGCGAATTCGCGTCCTTCAGCTCTCTTTTTTAGCGTGCCGAATAAATAAAACTCAGAGGGTGCAATATCAGGTGGATAAATTGGGTTTGGAACAACTTTGACATTGTTTTCCAACAAGTAATTCATTACCTTATGACTTTTGTGAACTCTTGAATTATCAAAATGAATTGCAAACTTTTGTTTTTGTTATTTGGATTTCTCAAACTCATCAGAATTGATAATTTGAGTAAGAACATTGTCAATTAGATACTGAGCATTCATCGTATTAGGTTTTTGAAGAATATCAATTGCGATGATGCCATTCACGCCCCAAAAAACCGACAACATCATCATTGGTGTGTCAATTTTTTTCTTCGGGAATGTTTGCGGATTTTCATCCTTCGGGATCCACATGATTTTGGCTTCTGTTGCATATTGAAACCAAGACTCGTCCCCTGTTACTAAAAAGCGAAACTTCTTGGATTGATACGCACCCAATATAGAGAGGAGCTCTTTCGAAGATTGGACTCTAGATTTTTTTTGAACTGAATTAAGGTTGTGCGGAACCCAACGTGTATACGCTAGTTTGTAGTTCAAATAATTGTGCAGATAATAACTGACTGTTGTAAGTGGTATCTTTGTCATCTCCTCTATCCTTCTGAGTGATGCTCTTGGGTCTTCATCTAGCGCTTGAAGAATTGCTTTGATTTTTCTTTGATCCGGCGATTTTTTGTCAATTTTTATGATGGGCGCCTTTTTGTTCATGAAGTGATACATCCTAACATGATACGTTACAGTGGAATAGCTAGGAGCATCCATACCGAAGCATTTTACCAATGTCTCGTAGATTTTTTACAGTCTTTGCATTTTTTTGCAAGAGCGAGGATGTTTTCTTTATGATTCATTAAAAAAATGAAAAAAATCCCGCCAAAATTTCCCGCGAAACCGCCTCTTGTCTCAAAATTCATTTTATATCCCGGCATGGCGCCAAAATACAACATACTCATCATATACATATATTCATATTTTTTATTATATATTTATAATCAGCATATATCTCCTTTAATAGTCTCATATAGAGCGCTGTGCTAAACGCACCTTTGGACACCCTATACCATTAAATGTTTCGGATGATTTGATTTTAATTCAGTTGGGTTCTATTAGATGTAATAGTGTAAATTCTGATTCAACAATTTATCCAGATGGGTATATTTCAAAAATTTTATATTATTCTTCCAATAAACCCTATCAAAAAGAATGGTATACAAATAAAATAACTTATCAAGATGGTAAACCTAAATTCACTGTTTTGGATTCATTATCAAATGCATATGTCGGAGATTCACCATCATATCCTTGGGGACAAATCGTTTCAAAAATCAAAGAATTAAACAGAAATATTAAGAATGTATATAATTTTGGACATAAATTATTTGGATTTGAAAATAAATCTATCATTTGTTATTTGGAGGAACTCAAAGAGCGTTTTATCTCGAATAGCGATGAAGTAAAGTATCTTCAAACATATGAAACAACACCTAAATTTCAGAGATCCGCTGAAGCTTTTACAGAAATGGTAAATATGATTATAAGTGAAAAATATTTGCAAACAGATCTCAGTCAAATTAAAATCAAAATCCATCTTCTAGGGGAACAATATATTCTTAAATTTTTAGAAGCATTTATAATTGCCCGCCCCAAATTTTATGCACAGGTTATAGGTTTCTTACAAAATTTTTCATTTGACCAGGAATTATACTCAAAAGCAGGAATTTCTAAACCATTAATACAAGCAATAATTAATGGCGATAAAAGATATTCGAATATTTTTGCTTTTTCAGGAAAATTGTGTGATTTAACAATCGAAGATTTTATTAATGTTTTAATTTCAGATCAAACAAATGAAAATGGTGAAGAATATTATCAAATACGTATCAGATCTATATTGGATAATAGTAAATATTCTTTCTATGAACTAGCAGTTAAATTTGAATCAATTAATATTTTAAATTCGTGTAATATAGATAATGTTACACCAATCATGAAAGCATTGATAATGTCAAGCCCAAACGAAACAATTTTCAAAATGAATGATAAATTCAATTTGCAGACTTATCAATTTACAAACCAAATCAAGTATGTTTTATCTTTTGCATACAATATCTCAGAGTTATTTTCTACATTTAGAAATCCATTACTCTCTTCGATTGTTTCAACAAATAATATTATATCAGTAATGAATTTGAATGAAAGCAAAGTTATTCGTTTAAAGATTCATTTAATCTTCCATGAGGCCCTAATTCAAAATAATGATTTTATGTACAAGAACTTTAATGTTTTGAATCAAATAAAAAACAATGACCTTCTGGAAATTTTAGCAAAAGCTTGTTTGAAAGCTGACAAAAAAATTCAAGCAGATTTTGAACAAATCATGGGTATTAAATTTACAGCGATCAAACAATTTCATGAATCCATAGAAAAAATTCCAGTTGATCGGTCTCCAATTACAATAGATGGTTGCCATATTTGTTTTGAATGCTCTAAAAATACTGATATTGAAAAACTCAAATCAATGCAATTAATTCTAATAAGCCCTGGTATTCATATCAATGTGTTAACTTATGAACAAACATTGAAGTTTTTGGAACAAATGCCAGCATTTATTCATTTGGGCCTTTCCAATATAAGTTCTGATCGATCTGTAAACTTAAATTATTTTCTACTTCAAAACGAAGATTATTCCCCTTTAAAAATTTCACATTGTATGACAAAATCGTATCCTTTGAATATTCAAAAGTATCAGATACGTTGTGGATGATTACTGTACCAAAAAACATGAAAAACATAAAATTACCCAAAGAGTTTTCAGGGAGGTTAAAATGGTACATTCAAATAACGAAAGTTGATCTCCCAGGACATCCTCTGCAAGATGAAATACAGGAAAAAATAAAGCATGATAATGAGATTGGTGATATCTTAACTTCATATCCCGGGAAATTTTATGTAAATTATAGCACAACGATAAGAAGTGATAGTTTATTCGTCAATGGAAATCCTATAGAATTTCTTATATATATTCCAAGCGAATCAGGAAATTTGGCGTTGGAGTGTAATTTAATTCACTTAGATGCTACTTTTTCATGGCCGAAATATATATTTATTTTTCATCGTGGTAATTACTATATGCGAGGTTACCCTCTAGGGATATACATAGGGCGCAGCGAATCATCCGCTGCTTATCAACGGTGGCTTACAGCCATGAATATTGAATTTAAATCATTAAACATTATGGAGCACTTTTCAAGAATCAAATGGAAAAAAAAGGTAGTGGGGCTTCCAGGCGCGTTGCGCCCTCTAGCCCCGAAGATGTTTAGTATAAATGAAGTTTTTATTCGGAGGGCTTCCAGGCGCGTTGCGCCCTCTAGCCCATAAAAAATTTCTGAGGACGAGCCAGCCGTTGACTTTTTTGTAGAGCACTCAAAATAGTATAACTTTGTCCGGACAAGTAAGGGTCTATCGTCGCTACAGGAAAAGTTACAGGCGTTCCAAGGAAGTATACTTTGAGAAGCCTTTTTCCCCTTATAGAATGAGATAGGACGGTTATTTTACAAAACTGACAACACTTTGACCGAGTAGTTTTTTGTGCTGAACAAATAGTGTCATATAAACATCTGTCAAAAACCGTTTTTTACTTCACTTAAAATGCCACGTAAGCTACGTAAGAATATACGTAAGAGGAAGGGAGCATTGAAACATCCAATAGTAAAACTGACACCACAACAACAGTTGCAACAACAAATGATGAATGACCCCACTATGTTGCAACAAATGTCAAGCAACCCTATGCTTTTAAACCGAGTTATTGGTGCACAGAGTGGAGGTTTAAGAGCGGCACTTTTAGCGAAAATGGCAGGCTATGGTGGAGCTGCAGACGGAACAGCTTATAACCTTCAAAGTCAAATGAATTTGAGTTCACTCAAAAATCAAATAACAGATGTCAAAAAGTCAAACATAGACATACAGAAACTGTTTCGTACCGAAATGGCTCACAAAAAAGTGACAGAAAACCTTAAATTGCGCGGCAATTTTAATTAAAAAATAAACATTAATTTTTGTGATTGATATTATGCATTTTATTTATATTATATAAGATTTAAATTTAGGGGAAAAATTGGAAAAAAAAATAAGATTGGAAGTCTTTAGGTAAGAAGGAAAGGGCAAGAGATATATAGTGTACCTATATACCTCTTGCCCTTTCATTCTAAGTAGAAATGGGAGAAACTTTGTCCGCATCATCAGTTATGCGGACAAAGTTTCTCCGATTTCTAATGGGAATTGCAGGCTATGAGGCACTGATATATAATCAGTACCTCATAGCCTACAATTCCCCTTATTAGACTTCCAAACTTTGAGTTAATATCAAGACATTAACTCAAAGTTTGGAAAACTTCTCGTAAGAATCAATCGTCAAAAACCTCGATTGCAGTTATATTCATTGTGTTAAATTTGATTTATTTTGAAATTTTTATAAATTAAATTTTATATAACATAAAGCGTTATGAATTAGTATTTCCATATGAATTTTATCTCGAAAATAGTAATTCTGTCCAGTTATATTTCGGTTAATTTTGGAAATTTCTAGGAATACTTTAAGATAGTATGATTATATATAACTCTGCCTTCATGATTTATTTTAGCTTTCGCGCAAATATCAGTTAACTTAACTCCATTATTTGATTTTGTGATGGCTTCACAAAGCCAATCAATATCAATCTCTTCTGGAGAATGTCTTCTCATCTAGAATATTTTCAATACTTTACATACAAACATTTTTATTTCTAAAAAACTTTTTAATTTTTTCTAGGATATATGAATGAAAATAGTTAGAACAAGATTTTGAAGCTCAAAACATTAAAAATTATTAAAGATTTGTATAATATGATTAAAAATGGGAAATAATATGAGGCAATATAAAGGAATATGAATATTAAATAAATATATCTAAATAGAAAGAATCAGAAAAATCAAATTATTGGCGCCAAAAATGTCACCTTTTTTGTGAGCCATTTCGGTATGAGATAATAGACATACAGAAACAAATAAGTGAAAACGAAAAGAAACTAGAATATGACAGACACACAAAGAAACTCAATGAGTTAAACGTAGAGAAAAAGAAGAAAGAAGAACAACTGAAAGAACTAAGTACAGAGGAATATGCGAAAAAAGTGTCAGAAAAAGCAGCAGAAGTAGCAAAAATGGAACAAGATGTCATAAATTTGAAAAACCATACTACTCAATATAAAATACTGAAAGATGAAGAGATAAAACAAAAAGCCATGAAGACATATATGGATAGCGATGAGTATAAAAAAGAAGTTGAAGCAAATGTAAAGGCAGAAAAACTTTTACAGTTGCAAAACCAAACCGTACAGTATGAAAACTTAGCACAAGAAAGTAAAAATAACGACGCAGCCATGCAAAAGGCAATGAAAAGCGCAGAATATATAAAAGCTAATAATGACTGGTTAGATGCCCAAGCCAACGCTAAAGCAGCCCAACTTATAGGGTCAATAAGGACAAAAATACAAGCGGATGAAGACAGTTCAAATGAAGCTTTAATGAATGCTGACTTTAAGAATGCCTTCGAAGCTCTTCATAGTAAGGTGAAACTAGTGAACGACTTCTCATCTGGAAAGAAACTGAAGTCTGAAAGTTTCGACAAAGAGTTAAGAGAAGTAGCACAAAATATGACGAAAATAACAGATGCAGCAACGAGACAGGCAGTTCAAAGTGCCTATGACGCCGTTAGAGCAACTGTTGTGGAAAGTCAAGAAAAGAGTTACAACAGACCAAAACAGACCTAGTAAATGCTTTCTTAAGAACGAAAAGTCAGGTAGGACATTATGCTGCAGATGGAACATATGTGCCAGCTGGTGGAACTTATATACCACCAAACCCTCCAAGAGAAGCACCTGCACCAGGACTACCTAAAACATTTACATCGTCACATGGACACAGACACAGGCATGCACCAAAACCAACACAACAACCAACACAACAACCAACAGTTCAAAATCCAGCACCACAACAACAACCAACACAACAACCAACAGTTCAAAATCCAGCACAGCAACCAACAGTTCAAAATCCAGCACCACAACCAAAACCAGCACAACAATCACCTCCACAACCAGCACAACAACCAACAGTTCAAAACCCTGCACAACAACAACCACAAACAGAGCAAGGACATAAAAGAAGTAGAGAAAAAGGAAACCAAGAATTCTTAAAAATGCTTAAGGAAGATTATGGTTACCCAGATACTCTTGACTTTAGTGACAGATATAAAGAAGCTATTAGAAAGTTCAAGGAAGGAAATACTGACCCGAACCTATTTAGCTTTATGGCTCAGCATCAAATCGGATATAATCTCAAACCTGGAAAATACAAGCTCGCTAAGGGATATGATTTAATAGCATATCATCCAAATGACATGGATGAATTTACTCCGAGATATTTGGTGTCAGAGCTAAATGATAATTCAACTCTCTTCATGAAACGCGTAAAAAATAGAGACGGAACGAAAGAAGAAAGGTTTATGAGTCCGGATGACTTAGATAGGGAACTTTTTAAAAACGGTCTCGGAATATATGAAATGCCAGCAGATGAGGTACAAGAAACTCCACAGGAAGAAGTTCAGATACAACCAGACATGGAAGAAATAGTTCAGCAACAACAGCTAGAAGAGCCTGAAGGAAACGAACAAGTCCCTCCTTTGGAAACTAACTTCACAGAACTAGATGAAGATTTGGAACAGCCGAAAAATCTTGACCCTCAACAAGTGTATGCGGAGAATATGGAATCTTTCCAAGAGTCTAAGAAAAATTCGGCTGACATAGTAGAAGAATATCGAAAAATGTTCACCGACATACAAAAGACTCCAACATCAGATGAAAATATTCAGCATAGAATGGAAGTACTGAAAGAAAATGTACGCAAATACAATAATCCTTTTTACTTACGACCATATAACGTTCAATCTTTGGCTGAACTCGGTGAAAATAAAAGGTTAAATTTCAACAAAAACATATAGAAATGAAACATTGTTTAAAGTTCATTCAGAACCTAACCAATATGGAAACAAACCTACTTTTGTTTCTGCAGACTATGGAACTACAATGAGATGGGGTCATAAAGCTAATCCGGATAGGTGGTTCATAAACTTACAACCTCAATTCCAAGAAGTTGTAGACGCAATGGAAGTGAATGGTGAACCAGATATAACTGGTATTTTCAGCGCGGCTTTAATGCCATTGAAAGATATGAAAGATGCAGATATTTTGGACCAGTATGAAATGAACATGGCTGATGGAAATATAACACCTGACGTTCTAGAACATTTATCTCAAAGAACTACACAGAACCATAGAGATGGTATATTTGGTGAAGAGTTTAGAAAGAAAGTTAGAGAGAGAGAAGGAAGAGAACCTATTGTACATGACCTTGCAAACGAAAGTTTGCAAAATGTCATAAAAACTTACTTTGCAGACAATGAACTGAGAAGGGATGAATATTTAAGAAAACTCAAATGGACAGTACCAAATGAAATGTTAGTATTGAAAAACATGTTCCTTGACAAAATAAAACCAACTACAGAAATAAATGACGCAAGACTGAAACATTGGGTAAAAGCTTTCCCATTCACAAAAGATATTATTGGTTACATGGAAAGAAAATCAGAATGGCTACAAAAACATATATTTGGAAACGAGCTTATTCCATATGGACAAGTTCTGTTTGAAGAGCTTGAACCGGAAACTCAGGAAAGAGTCATGCAAACAATACGCGAAGACTCAAATACAAACTATGACAAAATCTTTCTAGGATATAGGTTACCTGAGATGGGCGACCAGAGCCCAAAGGCAAAAAGGACATGGGAAATTTACAACATACTAGGTGAACATGAGGCAAAGATGCAACAACTTGAAGCAGAGGGCAAGTTACCAAAAGCGACACCAAAGAAGAAGAGAAGAGTAGAACAAAGTGAAAGTAGTGAAGAAGTAACTTCATCTAGTGAAAGTAGTGGCAATGAAGGAAAAGAAGAGTTAAAACTCAGTCAGGAAGAAAATAAAGCTTGGTCCGAGTGGGTTCTATTATGCACTAAATTCAACTATTCTATATTTTTACCCATATGAAATGTACGCCGCTCAGAATATAACGCCAACAGTTTTGGATGCCATGAACGGAAATGTTTCCGAATGGTATAACGAATGCGACAATGCATTAGAAGGTCAGAAATAGTTCTGGAACTTACGAATATACAACTGCTGTTTCTTATGGAAACGTAGGTGAGTTTGGAGAAGGTTCTTCAACAACAGTAGATATTGCTTGCGACAGGTTTCATATTATTTCTATTGACAACTCATTCTTATACGTGGAACAAGACATTGAAATAAAACCTTTCTGCCAAGTTGTCTGACAAGAAAGGTTGCAATGGAATTTTCTATGTCGGATACCAATATGCTCCAGAAGTTTTCATGGGATATAAGATATATTCTAACTCTGACTTAGTTCAAACAGTAACATGGCAAACTATGAATGGTTCGCTTTGAGAAACTCAGTACAACCACAAGCTAGAGAACAAACAGACCAGTATGCAACTATTGAGAAAATAAGAAGACTTGACCCTAACGTTCCAGGAGTTTATGTTAACCTTTCTGGTTCAGATGGAACTGCTGCCACTAAAGTAAAACTGAAATTAGAGTTCCTTTGTCATCTTTCATCTTCAGGTTTTTAGATACTTGCAAACTGGGCAGGAAAAATTTCTATTGAACTTACTCAAGCAAAATAACTTAGTCATTGCACCAACACAACCCATTCACTATTACAGACGTAAAGGGAACAAATCAAACGCATTCGCGAATTTTGCAAGACAAAGTTGACTTAGACTTTGGTTTCTCAAACCTCAACACTGAAGTAAACTATTATTTCAATGCTGCTGGAGATGCTTGGGACCCAGTTAAGTTCACATGCGAAAAATTTGAATGCAAGAGATAGAAAGCAGACTTGCAGTCATATGTTTGGACCCAGATATTTCAAATGCTTTAGTTGCCAATATATTGCAGTTCCACTTATGTTCCTATACACCAAATATCTGTCAAAGACTTTGCAGGTGAGTTGGAAACAAAATCCAGGAGCCGCAGGTGCAAGAACAGATATTGCTTTAACAACTGCAATGAAATGCAGATACTATGTTTGTACTGTTCAGACGAACTATAAATGACTATTCTTGTTTCTACAACCCTGGTATTAAATATCATATAAACATAGATGGCAAATATTATCCAAGAGAAGAATATTCTACAGTTGAGGATATGAGGTATACAACTTGACATTAGATGCTATGAACTTTAACAACAACTTCACAACAACTATTAACCTGAAATGCAAAGTTCTATTATGCCATATGTGAAAGTATGGACTCATACAGGAGGTCAAAAAACTCAATATACAAATGGAGACCGTTCAAACTTTTGGCTTGGCATTCCATTTGCTGACTCAGAAGACTTTATGGGTGGTATTTCAACTGTTGGTACAGTTCAAATACAATATACTGGTGACAGAGACGGTCCAGATGAATTGAGAGCAAAGAAGTTTACAAAACCAATAGCACTTTTCACGGAAGATGCTCTTTTGAAGATTCGTTCGATGAAACCTGCTGGGCTCCTCAGATTGGCATAACGACAGCTTCCATCGAGCAGATTTTGGTAGCATGTAGTAAGTTGTTCTTGAACTGACTTCTCTCCGTCAAATATTGACAGTACGCCAGTTTTGACATAATATTGTAATATAAACTTTCCTTTAGTAATATCGGTCAGTTTTGAAGTTATATTTTTGTCTGTTCAAGAACTTTCACCATTTCAGTTATATCAACTTTCTTTGCTTTATGAAAATATTTAGGTTCAGCAAAGACTGCTATTCTATAACATTTTCCATTGTTTTGTGTAAGAACTATTCTGTCAATGTATTTGTATTGTTTGTGAGTATAAACTTTGTTCTGCTTCAATTCAATAAGATTCCGAATACGTCTCTTTTATTCTAAGTAAAATGTCATTTCCGAAAAATAGAAGCATAAGTGTTTCAAAGGTTTAATGGCGGTGGCAGATGTGAAGTTAAATTCACCAACTCAAACAAACAGTCAAAGTGTTATTGTCAATGTCAAAGACAGAGATGTTGAAGTGGGGAACCATACGAAGACGAAGATGGTATAACAATTGTTCCTGTAAAAGAACCAACATATCCTGAAGTTAACAGAGACTTAAGTTCTGTGCAGATATTCGAACGATACCAACAACTGAAAGACAAACTTCAAACTCAGGAGAAGATTTGTCAAGCTTTAAGTATAGTTAAACTTGGTCGAACACAACCCTGTAAAAGTGAACTCATATGTCATTGCACCTCATGAAGTTTTGAAAGAACTATTGAAACTTTTGACAGGGCAGACGATAAAACATCAAAAAATAGAACCGACATTAGTTGCTGTGGTGTTTCATATAATGTCATTGACAAGATATACGTTATGAAAGGAGGTGAAACGTTGAACTTAAAATATAGTTTCCAGACGTTAGAAAAAATTTTGACGACCACAACATTTCATTAAAATTTATTTGCTAAGTAAATGGCAGAAGACATAATGGTTTATACTATTACGACTAAAAACCCTGAGTCATATAATTCTATAACAACAAACTTACAAGTCCTCAAGGACGATATTGTAAACTAACCTGAAACACAATGACGACTAAAGCCTGTTTTGCTCTTTTGACACCAGAAGACTTTATTGTTGTGAATGGTAAAAATACTCCTTTGAAGATACTTACTCAGATATACCACACAGGTTTTGTTGACTTATTTAATACTTTAAGTACGGGTGTAACATGTGCTGGCAACTAGAGCAGGTTTCATTATGTTTGGATGTCCGACTGAGTTTACTATAAACGATATGAGCTATAATACAAAACTTATTTCTGGTTTTTACTACCAACAGTTTCCTATAACAGGAAAAGGTGTCATACAAGGAATGTCTATTCCATTGACATTAAGCACACCAATCTTATATTGTTTCAAACTTAGGTTCAAAGTGTTATTCGAATGTCGACAGAAACTATTATGACCAAAAGATACTTATGCGTATAAACAATACTTTCTCTGCTGGTTTGCCTATTGTTCATTCGAATGCAGAATTTTCAACCTTAGTGAACTCAAACACTTTGGCAAGTATAACGTTGACATTATTGACGCAAACTTTGTTCCTGTAAAACTTTTATGTCCTATGTATTTGTCAATGACGGCAGAAAGTTTCGAATTGGAAGATGCAACTGGTGAAGTATTGTATTACAAGAACAACTTCAACAACAAATAGCTCAAGAACAACAAATGCAACAAATGGAACAACAAAGTCAAGAATAAAAAAATATATTTTTTATTTTTATAAAAATGTACAGAATAGATGTTTCAGATTTTTATGACTTCCAAGCATTCAGAAATATGTGTCCATTTAGAGACTATAACAAAGCAGTCGAGAATTTGAAACGTTTAGTCATTTATGTTGACTCTGCCCCAGAATGTTATGTCATGAAAGAATGGGATGTTGTCTTTAACAAACCAAGAGCAACAATAGTGTCTGAAAAGAATGTAGACAGAAACTTAAGAAAATAAAAGTTGTACAAGTTGGAATGAAGATGTTAGATGCTTGGGATATCTTATTGTCAAGTTAGAAGATTTTTCAGTTCGAGGTATAAAGTTCTATACACCTTCTCCAAACTTCTATTCTATCTTCACTGGATATAAATATGAACAAGTAGAATGGAAAGAAAATATTATAGACTTGGTTAGACCATGTCAAAGAAATTATATGCAATGGAAACGAAAAGGTTTATGAGTATATCTTATGTTGGTTTGCAAATATCTTACAACATCCAAGTGCTAAAAATGAAACTGCTCTCATTATAATTGGAAAACAAGGAACAGGTAAGACACATTCTTTACAGATATCTTATGCAAACTGTTAGAAGGTTATTCGAACCCTAATATGACAAACTTAGAAAACATCTGTGGTAAGTTTAACTCTCAATAGAGAATATGAAACTTATAGTTTGCAATGAACTTCAAAGTATAGATACAACAAAGTTTTGAACTCAGATGCTTTGAAGAGTCTTATAACAGACAAAGTTGGAGTTGTTGAAAGAAAGTATAAAGACCAAAGAGTTTGTGAAAATGTTGCAAACTTCATTATGGTTTCAAACCAATGCTGTTCCGATGAAGTTAGAAAGTTCTGACAGAAGATATTTAGTTGTCAGAACGTCAGATTCTCATATGCAAGATACAGAATATTTTGACGACTTAGCAGAAACTTTGACATCTGACTTTTACAACCACTTTTCTCATATTTCATGACATTAGATATTTCTAAGTTCAATCCAAGACAAATTCCACATACCGAAGAGAGACAAACATTGTTAGAAGCAAACAAGAGTGTATATGAACTGTTCATAGAAGAAAGCGACTTTGAGTGTTTAGATGAAAAGTCTTTATATGATGAATATAAACAATATTGTCAAGAATATGGTTATATGGCAGCGTCTAAACGTACATTCTTGGCAAATGTCAAAAGTCTTTTAGACGTACAGAATGGTGTATATACAAAGAAAAATTTTTCTGAGTAAATTTTAAAAAAAAATATTTTTTATCCGATAGAAAAGATGACGAAATTCATCTCAGTAAACAAGTACATGTCAGGACTTAAAGAAGAACTAGACCCATTCACATATTTGAATGTTTACTTCTACCATTTTGAAAAGTCTTCATTCAGCAAAGTTTGGAACATCGAACCCGTTAAGTTTGCTATTGTGACTAAAAATGGTGCGAAATTTGAAGACTTAGACATAGAAGGTTTGTTAACAGTCAAAGAAAGTTTTGACAGAAGGTCTCAAACCTTAAAGAAGGCAAAGCATACAAACTTGTTATACTTATGAACCAAGAAGACAGACGACTATGAAATATTATGAGTCTAAAGTTGTAGAAGTTCAAGGTAAATTGGGTAAAAGATTTTAGAGTCTAAGCCAGTGTTTACTCCTAAAGAGGAAGAGAACATTGACATGACCCAGAAATGTTCTAAAAATAAAATTTTTATTTTTACATGTCATAGCTCCCCTTCTCTGGAACTGGTTCAGGTTCTTTCTTCTCTTCTTCTTTTTTCTCTTTCTTTTCTTTCTTCTTCTTTTCTGGTGGTGAGACGTCAAATTTTCTCAGAACCATATTTATGTAAAAGTTCTTTGTCCTTTAATAGCTCATCTATTCTGTTTTCTATTTCATTCTTCAAGAACACCGCATATGTCTTCTTTGCATTCTAAGAACTTTTGTTGGACTTCATCTTTCCAATCGGCGTCATCTCTGTCAAACAAGTCTGTCATTGACAAATTTTAAGACTGCTACTTTGTAATGTTTATGGTTCTTGTCATATTCCAGAAACAGAACTTTAGAAAAATTCACCTTCTTGTTTACACTATGTAAGATTTTATGGTCGACAGATGTTTGCTGTCAAAAAGTTTGTCTCGAATATAGATAGCGAAATCGCTAGACATTTTCTAAAAGATAAAAATTTTAATTTTTCTAAAAATATGTTAGAAAAAAAGTTTGCTGACATTGACAAGAAATTGAGAATGTTTTAAACAAGAACAAGAGGAAGTTAGAAAATGCTCAGATAAAGCCTATACATGAAAAGTTCTTATTTGCTCAGAATGGTATAACAGGTCTAATTGCACCACCTGGGTCTGGTAAGACTTTCACTTATCTTAAAATGGCTGCACAACAACAAGAACTAGATGAGAAGAACCCATTCTATGAGTTAGTAGTCATTTGTAGTACTTCTGGTCAATTTGACCAAACCGTCAATTCGTTCAAAGATATTATAAAGAAGTCTAAGTTAGTATGTATAAAGGATACTGAGTTGTTAGATTGGATAAAGAAGTACCAAAGAAGAGTTTTGAAGTATAATGCTATAAATGAGTATATAAATTCTAAGTTCAAAGTCCCTAATGAGGAAATGCAGAGAATATTAGAAAAGAAACACTTCAGAAACAAACAGAAAGAGATAGAATACATTTCGAAGAAATTGCAATCTTACGATTGGAAGACTTACCCTCATAGATGTCTTCTTATTTTAGATGATTTCGCCTCTCATCCTTTGTTAAAGAACAGAGAACAAGATATGTGTCGAATTCTTAAGAAGCTCAGACACTTTAACATCTCAGTTGTCATTTGTGTACAGACAGCAAAGAGTTTAAGTAAGGATGTTAAAAGAATACTTACTGACATAATACTTTTCCCCGGATTGTCCGAAGACGATTTCATGAAACTTATGAAAGAGTCCATGGCAGGTAAGTTTGACAGACATGAACTATGGGAGAAGTACAAAGTCATACAAGACCCTCATACTTCTTTCAGAATTCATATCTACGCAAACAAAGTTCAAATTATAAAAAGTCAAGCTTGAAAAATAAAGAGTGCATCTACCCTACTTGTTTGAAGTTGTCAAAATACTCTGTTATTTTTTCCTTTAACAATGACAAATCTTCTTTGAATGTAAGTATTGTACAACCTTTAATATCATAGTGTGTTTGAGGTAACGTATCTTGAACTATTTGTTTCACATCTTCATTTGGGGTCATTGAAATCGGTAAGTTTTCGCGATAGAACCAATTTCTGTCAGATTTGTAAATCTTAGCAAGGTCGTAAAAGCTTTTGTTGTTTCTTCTGACTAAATGCAACATAACCATATCTCTGTCTTCTTCTTTCTCCAACTCTTCAGTATAAATCATATACTTATAGTTCTTTTCCTTTCCTTTTGGTACCGAACGTGGTATTCTTTTCTGAATGCTTTTGTCTTTTGCTTGAAGTTTCTTTTCCATCTCTTCGCGTTCTGCTTTATATAGTTCATCTAACATCATGAAAATATAACAAGCATAACGAGGTGAAGCCCACATTGCTACAGCATTTACTAAAAGTCTATGAACATAATATCCTTTCAAACCAGGAGCCAAATTCTTGCGATTTTCGTACGGAATCTCTTCTCTCGGTTTTCCGAGGGAAGCAATCATATGAGGAAATTCTTCTAAAAGTTCTTTTGTCTGTTGGTTTTCAAACCAATGATATGCTTGCTTTGTAGAACGAAGAGCATTCAAAATACTTTGCATTTGGTACATATCGTCTTTGACTGAACGAATGAGACGTAACTGTTTGTTATACTGTATGTACTCGTATTCTTCATTTATAGCTTCATGGACTATAACTGTTGTTGTGTTCTCTGTTGTTGACATATCTGTCTTTACATACAAAATAAAAAAATAAATAAAAATAAAACTAACTTTATTTTTTCTATCTTAAGGAAATTCATGATTTTTGTGCTGAATTCAATAAAAATAATGTTTAGGTGAAGAGGTGAGATTTCACCTGTTTTTTCACCTCTTTTTTCACCTCATTTCTACCCCAGTTATTTTATAAACGTTTTACATGGTAAACGTTATTTTTTAAGTTTTGTGAAAACTCAACGGTTTGACACATGCCCTAAAAATTATTTTACTCAGAATTTTGTTGCTGAATTCAATAAAAATAATGTTTAGGTGAAGAGGTGAGATTTCACCTCTTTTTTCACCTAATTTTTCACCCCAGTTATTTTATAAGCGTTTTACATGAATTGTACGATGTATATTTGAAATCCTAAACAATTTCGTAGCTTCTATTTCTTCTTTTAGTACATCGAATGTTTTAACAATGCCGAAGGTTTCTTTATACTTCTTCTTGACGTCAGATAAAAGGAAATCGTCAGCAGTTGGATAGTTTTTGTTCAGAAATGACAGCATGTCCATTTTATCTTCTGCTGGTTTCTCTGCCTCCCTCTTTAAATCTGCATAGTCGTTTCTCATTCTTTCTATCTCTTTTACTGAATAGTTATATTTCCTAATTGCTGCTTTACATTTAGAACATTGCGGGTTCATTTTTGCGTTATATTCTGAAACCTTACCTGCTAAAACAACCAAGGCGTCAATGGTTTTCTTTAAATCTGAAGCGGTTGGTTTTATCTGTTCATTCCATACTTTACCTCTTCTATCTTTATCTCTTATCTGCCATACACATTTTGCAGCTAATGAAACAAAGTTGTCGTATGTCTTAAACTCCCCAGATTTATATATGTCAGAGATGTTCTTATATACCATGTCGCAATCTTTGTCCATAACTTTATGGTTGCAATGATATCCTAGAAACTCATAATTTACCTTTCGTATGAATTTCTTAATTTCTACTGAGTCAGTTGCTTTGACTTCAATTTCGTCGAATTCAGGAATAGTTAGTTTTTGCTGATGAATTTCAGGTAGTTTAGGCAAATGGTCGATGAGGTCCTCCATTTCATAAAGATACTGTTCATTTGTTTCATCTTTCGCACTACAGTCTAAATTACTTGTTAAAAGTTCTTGCTTTATCTTCTGGATTTCTGTTTCGAAAGTAAATGAAGAAGGAATGAAGCTTTTCATCTCTACTAACATAGATGTTGGATTCATGACTAACGAGTTTGGTGCTGTTGTTGTTTGAATTGTTGTTGTGCCGATTGTTGAAATCATATCTTACATACGAAATAAAAAAATAAATAAAAATAAAACTAACTTTATTTTTTCTATCTTAAGGAAATTCATGAAAATTCAAGAGGGTGAAAAAACAGGTGAAAAAAGAGGTGAAATCTCACCTCTTCACCTAAATTATATTTTTTGGTCCGGGAACAACTTTCTCTCAATTGGAGCTGTAACATACTCTTTGCGTAAGCGGTTCAGACCTTCTTCGAAGTCTTGGTCTCTCTTCGATTGAGATTGGAATTGGAATTGTGGGGCAGGGTTTTGCATAAACATCCAAGGGTTGGGGAAGTAAGGCATAGGCTGAGGAGGGTAGTTCGGGAAGCCTTGTGGTGGGTAGTAACCTTGAGGTGGAAATTGGTAGTAATTCGGAGGTACTTGCTGGAACTGAGGTTGCTGAGAAGACTGTTGTGGTTCTGCAGCTTTCGGTTCTTCTGGCTTTGGAAGGCATTCAGGAAGAGGAACGTCAGTCATCCGTTTGTGTCCTGTCGGAAGGAAGAACTTTTCCTGTCGGATGGAAGAACTTTTCCTGTCGGATGGAAAAACTTTTTCTGTCGGAAGGAAAATTTTTTTCTAAAGTTCGACCAAAAAGTTCTCAATTTTCGAAAATTTGAATGGTTTACGGACGGACAACTGGAAGAGTTCTTCCTGTCGGAAGGAAAAATTTTTCCCTTTGTCCGGAAAATTTTTTCCTGTCGGATGGAAGAACTTGGAATGCAAGAAAGACTTGACGAGGCAATTTACCTAATTGAACTTAACGAGCTTGTTAAAGACTTCCTCAGGCAGAATGTAAAAGGCAAGCTTGTGAACGGTTGGATAACGGGAAGGGCTGCCTTGAATCTCGAGACTTCGACTGGAATTCCAATTGAGGTACCAGAAGGCACTCCTTTCGACGACATAAAGCAAGCAAAGAAGGAAGCCATTATAAAGTTCTTTGCCAAGCGTCCTTGGATACTACTTCCAAACAGAGAGAACCCTTTCCCAAGAATGAACCAAATTCTCAAGGGTCTCCTTCACTTCTCTGGTCAACCATTCTACATAACCTGTGAAGGCGACATCCAACCAGTTCAGTAAACATCTCATTTTAACTTCACTTTTTTATGTTTTTTGTGAAAGTGTCAAAAATAAATTGTTTTCATGAGTTTTCTACGATGTTAGAAAAAATGTTATTTTCTAATATCTTCACATTCAATACTTTTTCAGCACTTTTCCGTAGTTATATATGAAAGACAATTCGAGATAAAAGTCATAGTACAATGGAATAATATGTTGCACACCATTTGTTGTGAACCAAACTTGAAAGTCATCTAGAGTTTTCTCAAGACTTTCGTCTGAACGAATTGTAAAGATTCTCATTTCGTCAAATTTGTCTATTAGACCATCATGACCTTCATACTGCCCATGAAAATATACTGCGAACATAAATGCGTTAGTTCTATTTGAAAACAAAACTCTTCTAAATCCTATTGCCTTTGCATCTGAAGGACTTTGAAGCCAACGAATTGGATAGTCAAACATGTATGCACGGGATGAAATTTCTTCATCTGAAATAGTCCTACCAGCATTTGTAAAGATATAGTCTAACGGTTTTGTATCTGCTACTTTTGTTCTTTGTTTTTCAACCTGAAGCATTTAATATATGTAAAAATATATTGTTTTAAAATGGTATGCCATTTCATATTTCTCATCTAACAAACAAGTTTCCCAACGGTCTTCTCCAACAAACTCAGCGTACATTTCAAATAAAATTAAAAAAAATGTCACTTTTTTAAAAATAAATTTTTTATTTCATGCAATGTTTTATTTCTGTGCCGTCTTCAAGTATGCCCCAGTACTTACGCTTGGAGAGGACATGAACTTCGGAAAATACATTATCTAGCTTAAAACAGCCCATCTTTTCACCGACCATTCCCATTTCAATGAGTTTGTTGTATCCTTCTTCGTTCGTCATGAGTGCGTCAATGTTCTCATAGTAAACCTTCACTTTGGATTTGACTTCGGAGAAGAATTTGTTGTACTCGTCAAGGACTGCTTTTGCGAACTGAGGGTAAGACCAATGTTCGACAATAGGTTTTAATGTGGTTACTAAGCCACTTTGACCTTGAGTGAATTCGTAACTTCAAAACAAAAGGAGAAAACCTTTCAACAAAGTTGTCGACCTTCTCATAATGTTTACTCTCATCTCTTGAGGTTTCTTAATGGAATATCCCATGTCGAATTCATAAGCAATTTGAGTGTCATTGCAAGTTTGGGGTTTGAAGCTTTCCTAATATCATACAGTTGTTGTAATGACTTTTCCAACTGTATAGTTCCTTCCCGGAACTCACCATCTTCGTTTGGAATTCCAGTCGGAATATATTGGACAAACCTCATGTATGCAGCGTTAAGGTCGAGATAGTATATCTTTTCAAGTCGAACTTGTCGCAACCAATTGGTCCAGTTTGTGGAAATTCAAGTGAGTCTCTTATCTTCTGAGAAACTTCTCCTGTTATCTCATAAACATCGTCGAAGCAACCTGTTTCATATAAAACCTTCTGACCTAACTCAGATGCTCTCCAATACAATTTGACGTCAATTGGATGTCTCAATGGAAGTTTGTTTATAGCATCTTGAAGTTCTTGCAACCTCATTGGAAGTTCTTCTGGTTCAGGTTGGTATCCGAACATACCAACCCCTTGTGGAACCGTGTACTTCTTTTGTACTAGAACTTTGTCTGGAACAACTTTTGGTCTTGCTAATGAAAAGTTTTTTCGTTTTTGGTACAAAAGTTTCTGTCAGCTTGTCATCTGGAATTGGTTCCAACAAACCTTTCTCGAAAAGAATGTTTACAGCTCTGACAAGTTGCACTTACTTTTACAAGAATGGGTTTGTAAGACTTTCGTTCAACATGAAGTGGTTGTGGACAATTACAATCTTCAACCATGGTAAGTCTTTGTCAACAACATAGTCGTCATGTGAAGAACCTTTAGCTGTAGGTATGTTGACTCGGATATTGACATTTGCCAACGGTGCAATTTTTGCCAATTGACCTCTGAGAATGTACCTTGTCTTCACACATGACTCAAGATACTTCATCTTCTCATCTGTAACAAGACCAGAGTTCCTGAGACATGTAAGAATACAAGGTTCGTTGACAATTGTTTCAATTGAATTGTAAATTCCATACCTTGTCAAGTCAATGTCAGACTTATTTATGAACGGGAAGTATCCAGCATGTTGTCTGACTGCTTGAGGGTTAGGTTGGTACCATTCGAACTTGACACTTGCAATTCCTTCAATTGCATTCAAAATGTCTGAGTCGGAGTCAACCATTTGTTCTCTTTGTAGTCTTGAAAGCGTCAAGAAGTTTTGCGGCTGTTTGTTCATTGCCATGTGCATAGTAAATGTGACCATCCAAATCTGTTATGGTCAATCTGAGATTGTGTCCTTTCTTATTTCCGTCTTGTATGGCAGCAAGTACTCCCATGAAGCCTTCTTTGTTCTTTCCTTCGTCAAAGTTTACTGTAAAGGTTCGACCAGATGTAATTTGACTTCTAACTTCACGATACTTTTCATATGCATATCTTGTTCTTTCCATGGGAGCATGTGCGTCTTCACCTTTTCCTTTTTTCCTTCTCAAAGGATGCAATTGTTCGTCATGTTTCCAGTAGAATCTGGCAAAGTCGTCGTGTCCTTCAACTTGAGGTTCACTAACATCGAAAGGCATGTCCATAAGACGTTCTTCTTCTAACCTCTCTAGTCTGTTTGGATAATTGGCACGTGCTGTTTCCAAATCTAATTCGTAGCGAAGACCAGACAATTTGTCATAGACTTTTATGGGTCTTCCCTTCCTATATTTAAAATTCTTCGAAACTCTCCAACCATATCTTTGTATAGGGTTGTTAGATTCCCGACGATAGGTGTCTTGGAAGATTTGCCTGGTGTCATCATAGTGTCTTTAAATCAAAATTTTTATTTTGGAGTTAGTTTTATTGATTTTTCAATAAAAAACATTTCTAAAACAAGAAAATAAAACGATAAAATATTTATATTTTATATAAGGATCTTATATATTTAAAATAAATATCATTTTATTTTTTTTCATTGGTGTCTGTCAAACCATAATACACTATTCAAAAATTCAATATGTCTTGCGGTTTCAAAAGACACCTTCAAATTGAACGATAGCACAGACACTATTGAATTTTACCCATTGTATTTAGTTTTTACCCCTTTTATTTTTAAGAATTAATGACTGAAACAGCCGTTTTGCTATGACCTCAATCACTTTTATTAAGGGTTTCGTTTTGCGAAAAAAAACGTACAATACACAATTTCGCTAAAAAAACATTTAGCTAGCAATTTCGACCTTTGACTCCACTCAAGACGTCACTTTTTTAATTTTGCGGTATCATATTTTTGGAAAATCTTTATGAATATTATATAAAAAGTCTCTTTAATATCTATATTTCATATTTTTATCGATTTTTAAAGTTTTTGCGAAAAGTATTCAATTATTTTTGCTATTTGGTCGGGTAAATGTCAGATTTGCGACATTTTCTGATATGATATTCAGATTCTACCTTGATAATAATGCTTATAGAACCCTCTTGCTATTGTGTCAAAATTGCGAAACCGATAGCAAAAATATCTCGCAATATCAAAATTGAGATATTGAGTGAATTATGCATTATAGAGATTAAAAATCTGATTTGTGAAAACATCTCATCAGTTTCTAGCTAATTCAAAAATCTTTACTATCTTATTCGATTAAAATGAAAAGGGAATAGTTTCATTATGCTTTAAATGACAGCCTTATAATATAATCATAGTTTTCGCTCAATATGCAGCATTTTTTTTTCGAAATCTATGGTCAATATCCTAAATACTGATTGCTTTGCATTCATATCTCTTACATTTTCTATACCCACATCACTATTCATTGCTATTCCTATCTTTTTCATTTTTGTTTGTTTCTCATAATTTCTCAAAAAACATGATAACTTGATATTTGTAAATATCATACTTTATAACGTAAATAAGAACTTGACCTATTAAGAAAAGCAGTAATGAAAAGAAAATCTGAAATTCATAAAAATTACAAGTTTCTGATGACAATTAGCTTAATTAAACCAGGGACAAGATTATATAATTGTATTTTCTATCCAATTATCCATATAATATCTTATCCAGAAAAAATAACTTGATCAATACCAAATGATTTTTTAACTAGTAAATAAAGTATTTTCTTTACACACACATTGTATATCATAGTTTTTTTTTGGTTTCGCAAAACATCCAAAAACAAATATGCTATAAAAGTGACAATTTTAGCAAAACGAAACCCTTACTTTTATTTATTATTTTAAATATTATTTAATTTTATTATTTGAATAGGCCAACTTATATTTGAGAAGCTCAATTTGAGACCACTTAATACATTGAAATATCATAAATATTGAAATATTAAAAAGTGTATGAGAAAGGGACAAACTATCCAGTGTCACTTTTCAAAGGAATAAAAAATAATAAAGATGGGGAACAGGACAAATTTGCCACACGGCACTTTTTTTAAAAAATTTAATGGAGCGGAGCGATACTCTGCTGCAGGAGCCCCAAGGCTCCCAATCATTACGAAAGGGAGCCTCAGAGCTCCTGAGAATCCATCAGCAGAGGCCTTTTCATTTGGCCTCTGCTGATCAAAGATTCGGCGAAGCCATTCTTCGTCTCAGGAGCCCCAAGGCTCCCAATCATTACGAAAGGGAGCCTCAGGGCTCCTGAGAATCCATCAGCAGGGGCCTTTTCATTTGGCCTCTGCTGATCAAAGATTCGGCGAAGCCATTCTTCGTCTCAGGAGCCCCAAGGCTCCCAATCATTACGAAAGGGAGCCTCAGGGCTCCTGAGAAACCTCTTTGAGAAGGTTTTCTTAAAGAAAACCTTCTCAAAGATGATTGTCAGCATTCACTCAAAATCTACCAAGAGTTTCAAAGTTTCAAATCTATCTGAAATGAAGCTTTGAATCTCTTGTATATCTAATTGTAGAGGTACATTTTCAAAATGTCTTCTATTGATTAAATTTAATCAGTAAAAGTCATTTTGAAAAGGTACATCTCTATAATTGCTATTGAGCATTCACTCTTGGAACCTTGGAGCTCTTGTGTAGTGCATGAAAACTCCAAGATTCTAGCATAAAACATATATCATAGACATAATTTCTTCAAATATAATTTAAGGTTATTTTTAAAAAAATTAGAAAAGCGTAATTTAAGGTTATTGAAAAAGTGACACCTGGCAAATTTGTCCCGCACTCAAAAGTGTATTTCAAAATATTGAAATTATAAAAATTTATAATACTGAAATTGAGACAAATTAATAAATTCAATGTGTTTTTTTTTGAAATAACTCTCAAATATTATTTTTTTGTTTATTTAATGATGAATAAATATGATTGCTTTAGTCAATCATAAAAACTAATTTAAGTTTAAAATAATGAAAGGATAATTTGATCGTTTTTTAAAATACAATTATTTTTGATGATTTGCAAGAATCTTTGAAAAGAATATAATATAGGTTCTATTATTGTAAAATTTATCCAAATCATGTATTACATAAATTACGATTAAAACGATGAAAGAACCAAAAAGTGTGTTTTG